ATGTTTGATTGAAAAAAATCCACGTATAAGTGGACCCTCGCAGTTCAAATGCGTGTTGTTCAAAGGTCAAATATATCTCATTCAGGCCTCACAACAGCCCCAAAAAGCTAAGTCCCATTATTCCCCGAGATTGACAGATGAGAAAACAGTCAGAGTAGGCATGGAACTTGTAGGAAGCCAGACACACCTCAGTGAGAAAAACCGTCTTTTTCATGTCATTTTTATCATTTTAGATCAATATACATTACATGTTGTGCATATTTTCTTGATTTTTAAGAAAACTAAGATTAATCAGATGAGCAGTGATGGGCAACAAAAAGATTCCCTGATTCAGAAAACACAAATACCAACCTGTTTGTCCAAACTTTAAGGGAATGTCCTCAGATTAGCTTTCGCCTATTGGCACAAGGATAAGAGTTTCCTACTTAATATATTTAATATGTTTATTCATCTTTTAATTTGTTCATCAACTATTTAGTGACTAGATTTTCCATGCAAATAGGAATAGAACACATTCCCTTCCTGCAAGAAGCTCACAGTCTGGTACAGAAGACAGAAATGTAAACAGAGAATTATAGAACAATGTGACAGTGTAGTGACAGCCATATGAACTGCTATAATAAGTGAGCCAGGAAAGGTGGCAATTGGCTAACTATCAGAAAAATAATGATTAGTTTCTTGCTCTAATGCCGCTTTATTTAAATTTCAGGGACTCTATTTTTGGATAACTCAATTTAACATGCCATAGACATTAAGCACATTCACAAGACAGTGAAAACAGATTAATATCACCACTAGAGAGGTGTGTTTTCTCTCCATCACCTCTAGCAAGCAGTTCCACACTGAAGCAACTCATGTTTTGATTGCTGGAGGTAGGATGCTAAATAAATACACTGCTGGAATGTGCTAATCCATTAGTAGTAGCCTCAATATAGCTGAAGTCACAGGACTTACAGTAAATCATACTCAGAAAAACATCTACTTCCACTTCATGCTTATCAATACAGAGCAACAAGATATATCAAGGAAGAGTATATTTAAAATAAAATTATCTACTACATAATATCATGAGCTTAGAACACATTTCATTTATTTCTCATCCCCACCTTATCAAAATAAAACTCCAGGTGATTTGTATTGGCACAAAACCAAAATTAAGTGTCTAGTGTGCTAACACCTAAAACATCAGATGACTAATCATCTAAATCCTATCTTAAAAATAGAATTTATTGCATAGCAAGAACTCTAACAAACCTTTGTTAATAGGAAAGTAGCAGAAGAGACTAAAGCCAGTCTAAACACAGGTTAAAATGTCTCAAAAATTTTGATGCATTTCACCCCAAAGCATCCAAGAGATGGTTGGGAGTATAATTTCTCTAAACAATGGGAGCAGAAAATCAGACAATGTTCCTAAAATCTAATCAAAGTAGGGGAAAATATGCTATAGATGTTTTTTAAGATCCTTGGAGGAAAAAAAAAAACTAGAAAAGCAGAAAGCAATAATATTGGCAACAATTTCTCATGTCAACTGAAGAACTGCTTCTAAACAAAGATCCTGAAGGGAAACCTAATTTCACATCAGGCAGTGGCCATCTGCATATACTATACAATAATATTTGCAGACAACAGTGATTATGCCTTCTGGATTTTCCTATACAATGAATGACTAGCATACCAGTATTACATATAATATCTTCCCAAATGAAGAAGAAATCACAAATCTACAAAAATGTCCCCATTCTACTTTACATCCCAGAGATAAAAAAGTGGAAGGAAATGAAGTAACCATTCAAATATTAATTTATCACTTCAAAGGGTAAAAATGTGTCTGTGCAAACTACTGAGCCCTTGACATTAACCAGAAGAAGGTAAGCTAAATGCTCTTCCAGTTAGTACAGTTTATAAATAGATTGAACCCAAAGAAACTCAAAGGGGGAATAATTATCATAGATAGTACTAGATATTATTTAAAGTCTAAGATCAACTGGCTTACAATATAAAGCTGCCGGACAGCTAACTGACTGGGTAAAATCTAAAGTCCAAAAGATTGCTAACTGTTGACTAAATCTATTTTCCCCTTCTTCCATGAAGCCTGGCAGAAGGCTGGCCTGCTCCTCTGCATTTCCTTTCCTTCCCTGCAGCGTGGTCCGCCAGGCAACGAAGTTCTTTTCCATGTGAACAGATGTGTGATGTGTGCCATTTCCAGCCAGTGCCTGAGGCTGTTCCTCCTGTATTTTCTCCATCCTCCTTCTGGGAAGCTGAGATGGTATGACCAGAGTGACTCCAGAAGTGACATGCAAAAGGTGGCAGAGCCGCCTTTAATCCAGGTCACTGAACAACTAGGTGGAGCCAACTTTCCATAGACCTGGACCACCCACCCTAGACTCGTAAGTAAAGGAAAAATTTTCTGAACATTCAAGCCACTGCAAATGTGAAGCTCTCTATCCTTACTAACACAATCCCAGGGAATTGCTGATAGAGATTCAAGATATTGATAACAATATTACAGATAATGTTCTCAACTGACTAGTCATGACTGACAGTGCATCTTCAAGGTCAACAAGTGAGTCCACTGGGGAACTAGTCCCTCAGAATACACCTGTACAAACACCACCACTACCTTCAATTGGCTGTAGACTTAGCAGAAGGAAAGGCAAGAGTAGAAGCTCTTCTCAGGATTCTTCACTCAAGGCTCATGGGTTAAATACTACGCAAGAGCATATGTGGGAACACTGGGGAGAAGAACAGTCAGGAGCCACTAAATAATTAAGTTAATGAGCTTGGGTCCCTATTATGCATCAACAGTCACTTTTTCTTCTCATCCCCAGTAAATTATTTCTTCTGTGAATATAAAAAGTTCACACACACAAAATAATTGTCCCTGCCCTTCAACTTCAAAGGACACGCTTCACTATAAGTAATACAAGAGAGCCTTACTGATTTCTAGAAACATAAGCAGGGTAGATGAGTGAGCCCTCAGAATCAAGAGTCTATGACTAAGACTACGTAGTATGACTATGTAGAAAGTGCTCATTCCCCATTCATATATGAAAGATTTATTTTAGATGCCTTTCCAAAGCTCCATGCTGGATGTCATGGATATGGTAGTAAACAGAGTGCCCATAATTTCTGTTCTCAGACACTCTTAAAACTGGAATTCTCTGAGCCAGCTTGTATGATAGACATAGCACCAGTAGAAGGCAAATGGTAACAAAAACACCCACCAAGCATTCATCCACAAACCCTGCCAGCAGGAATAAAAACTGTAAAGATGATTTTGTTTCATAGGGAAAGTGACCATACAAAAACAAATAACTTCTCAAGCTAAGTCAATTTTTACCATGACATATTGGCATCTAGAACAAATGGTCACTTTCAGCAGAAGCTTGTTTCATAAATTAGGGGAGAAAGTTCATGAAATGTTAAAAATTCCAACCAAGCAACTGGGATGTAAATTGTGATCAGATTTGGAGTTGACACATTAAACAGTTTAATCTAGGTACAGCTCTCAGCAGTGCTAGGCATATGCAAAAGAAACAGATGCCTTGAATCATTTTAAAGTACATTCCTGTCAGAAATGTCCTTTATGACACTAAAATCAATTTCCTACGCCTTTACTAACTGTTCTACCAAAAGAAAAAGGGGGGAGGAAAAGGAAAAAAAAGGACTCTTTTAATGGAAACATCTTCCCACTGAGGCAAAATTAAACCCAAACCTATTAAACAGCATAAATTTATGTTCAATTTTTATAATTAGTGTTTCTTTGACAGAAAAGATGGCAAAAGGACAGGATGGGACACGACACATTTTCATTGTGGAGAACTATAAAGATTTTGACTTGTCCTGAAGAAATGAGAGAAATCCGACAAGAGCTGTTAATGTGTAAAAATGAGATTCCAGCTCCTGTCCAAACTAGCCCAGAAAACTGCATGAGAACAGATTGTTTTACTTGGGAATCTCTACTTATACAAACTCAGAAACTTTTTTCCCCCTCTCCTTGCAGATTGTTAAATTCACATGGCCACCTCTCCTGAAAACCTGCAGTGTATCTTTAAATGTACTTTTTGATGGGTGCCTGTATTGTTGCCTAGGAAATTCAATTAAACACACATCACATATGTTTAGCCAAAAAATAAAAATAAATAAAAAACAATCAAAACACCACCAAACAAAACAAAAATGGGAACACAAACTGAATATCTAAATACTACAGCATGTCACAATGCTCCTGGGGAAAAANGAAAGTTGTCCACTGTGTCATCACATCTTGGAAGCCTGGTAGAGTCCTGTGATTCCTACATAGAGGCCCCTTGATTCCACAGTCACCATCTCCCTGCCCCCACATTTTCTGCAGGGGTCACGGACGGGAAGGAGGAGGGGATTCTGACACCCCAAGAAAGAAAGGCAGCTGGTGATCCCCCTATGTCTGCGGAGACCCTCAGGAACATCTTAGGAGATCTCTGAACCTGAACAGCTTCTGTGCACCCCACACCCAGAGCTGCTCCAGCAGAGAGGCCAGCACTTTGGGGTTTGTCCCATACAAGAGACGGTCTGCTCCATCCAGGACCTCTGGGCCCTCCCAGGAGGCTTGTCACTTTCTCACCCGCTTTGGCATAACTCCAAGAGCACATGGGACAAGGCTGGACCTGTGCATTTTTTTTCCATTTGCAAGGAGACATCTCTGGCATTGCATCAACATAACATCAATGTATGTTTCCTTTCATCCTGAAAAGACACCTTAAACTCACAGAATCCTTGCTGCATTTGTTGCCTTTGAGAAATATCTCTTTTTTTTTTTTTTTTTTTTTTTTTTTTTTTTTTTTTTTTTTTTTTTTTTCTTTTTGTTTTTTTTTGAGTGCAATGGTTATTTCTTTAAAAAAAAAAAAAAAAAAAAAAAAAAAAAAAAGGTTCTCAGTTCCAATACCTGGAGCAACACCAATTAAAAACACAATTTTTTTTTCCTTTCCATTTTAGTTATCTTGACCTACCACAAAGCCCCTGCTTTTGCTAAAAACAGAATAAATCATAATACGGTGCAATTTTCATTCAACTGGGAGGGTATTTTCTAGCATGCTTCTCTCCTCTTGCTTCCCAATGTTGGCTTAATGTGGAGCATTCCAGCTCTTCCTGTACCTAGGCATCCTGCGAAGAGTCCCCAGAGAGTCATATCCCACCAGAACCCAAATAATTTGGCCAGCCATGTATATGCCTGATAATCATGCCCATTTTCCAAAGGATTTTGTCATTTATTGGACTAACATAAACATATTTTTTTTAAATGTTCAGTATGTAAAGTTTTTCAAGTTATTTTCTTTGGAGGACTCACCCCTACTATTTATAGCCAGCAAGTTACCTTGTATCCTATAATGTCTGATCACAATTAAGTCAGCTAGAAACATCTCCACAGTGACTTAGCTATGACTAATGAGTAAAGAAGTTCATCTTGGGAAAGCGAATGACTAAGTTGCAAAGGAAGCATTTAAACATCTGAACAAGGCTCTGTTCACACCTCTCCTTGTTGATGTTTTTCATTCTTTCCACAACAGCCAAAGAAGAGAAAAGGAAGAGGCAGAAGTTTGGACCACAGTGTGTGATAGTTCTGAGGTGGAATTCCTATCTTTCCATTTGGAGACCTCCTCTTGCTAAAGCCAAGAGGAGACCCAGGCACGAAGTAGCAGCAAATGCAGAGAATCTTATCCGGACACAAGTAGCAATAAATTCATCCTTAAAATGTATAGTGTTACCATGAATAGTCATTCTGAGCTAAAATCCAGAAAACCGTTTTGTTTCTTTAGCGAGGATACCTGGCCACCTCTAATGCAATGATACAGACTCCAACAATCTCTTCTTAAGGCCCTGAGAAGATTTGGCCCTGAGGAAAAGATTTAGCATATCGGACAGCAAAGAAGCCATACTTAAGGAAGTGTTCTACTAACATCTTTTACAAGGAATAAAACTGACTATATAGCAAGATAAAGTGAGAGAAAATGCAACGTGCTATACTGATTTTGTAGTCAGCAAAAGTTAATGAATTGCAGATCACGAGCAACTCAATGTAAAACCACAGTGTGTGCATGTTATGAAATTACTCCACAAAAGATTGCTTAAGCAAATTTACAATGAAAAACAACATCAAAACACCAAGGAAGTGAAATGAATATAAATATGAAGCACACTTAAACACCCAGGACGCTTATTTTAAGAAGGAGGAAAAAAAGCTCCTCAACCTTCAATGACTTTTATAAACTATAAAGAAGGATCAGATAAGCATCTAGGTCTTCTATATAACAATATATATTTTACACAAGCAAGTAAGTCCAGCTACAGAAAATTGATCTTCTATTGCCCCTGCAGCCTTGCAGACAGCATGCAAAAATCCATCCATGGACAGTCTTCAAAGGGTCAAAGTGAATACACAACACCTGGAGATGAACAAGAAAAATTTAAATAGGGCCCATGGGTCTCTAAAGAGCAGTTTTTAACTGGCCTATAAGCTAATAAGAGTGGTTATAAACTGTGAACAACCAATGCCCTACATGAAGGAACATTTATCATACTAACATGCCTGTAAAGTGGAGAGGGTTCATCCGCACGCTCTCTGCAGTTTCTATTAGAATGTTAATTGTTCATACTGAAGAAAAGGAGACATAAGGAATGGCTTTTACCATCATGTGTTAAGTTTATTTTTGTTCCTCTGACCAGTTCCCAAGGGGCAGGAGGCTAATGACTGTTCTTCATCATCAACTGCAAAGGATATTTACATCCATCCTGTAACCATGACAGCTGTGTCACTAATTCCCTAACTACCTCCACCACATGAACCAATCATCTGGCATGAAGCTGCAAGATGGAGTGCCCTGCAGTCATTATTCACCAAGCACTTTCATTAACAAACTGCCCTTAATTACAGTGGTAATTGCAAAATTATTTCATAGCAGCAATTATTTTTCTCAGCCAATCCAGGCTATTTAAGTAGGACACTGCCTATGAAAATGGCATAAGTCCAAGTAATCTATGACCAAGGATATGTTTTAATTGTACTACCAACTTAGTTTCAAAATATTGCATCAGAGGGCTATGAAATTACATTATACATCCCATTACACACTACACACACAAACGCGCGCGCGCACACACACACATCAATAAAAGAAAAGCAAACCTTCCCTACTTTTTTTAATTTGAAAGTAAAATGCATACATAACATTCACATCAAGTACCTAAACTAAAGCCATTGTCCAGCAAAGTAAAAAAATGAGCCTCTAGATCTAAACTTACATTTTCAGAACTGCTGAACAAACTAACCTATCCATTAGAAATACATCAACTCCCTTCCATCCATTCCTTTTACTTAAAAGCCCTTTGTTCTTTCATATTCATATGTTTAGATACTCAGCTATGATGAGAAATACTGGAATACCTGTCCGTCTGTTGGCCTCATAAATAAAATCACAAAGGAGTTTCCAGAAATCACATCCTAATGTTCAAAATTATAGGCTGAAATGCATCTATGCTTACTTTCCTCAAGTTTCAATGTGAAAATTCATAAAAATTTACCCTGAAGATGAAACTCGAGTCATAATGTCCGATTTGGGGAATAGCGAATTTTCAGTGAAGTTAGAGTACAAGAAATGCGTGATCTGGAGACTAGAGAGATGTGGTCAAATCAAGATTAAGCCTTTAATACCACAATCAGACTATATGAAGACATGAATACTATTCTAAGGAGTTTGGATGTGATCTGGTAGATAGTGAAAACGTGTAAAAGGCAAGGAAAGAAGACAACTTGAATTCAGATAGTGGGAATGGAAATTGAGGGACAGGTTTGAGAAATCCATGAACAATTTTGCAGGGAGAATTATACTTGATGACTTTTAGGTACAGACAGCAATGAAGACATATTCAAAGACTGCTCTGAGGTTTCCAGCCTGTTGGAATAGGTAGGTGATGAGCTAGGTAATGCAATAAGGATCTGTAATACACATGAGTATTTTAACTATCTATAGGACATTAATCTAGAGATATTAAGGAAGTAGCAAGAATAGTAATTAACATTTATCGCTTATTTATATCCCAGATGCTGTACTTAATGCATTAGATGCATTAACTTACTGAACACTCAAAACAATAGGATCTTGAATTAGATCCTGTTTTTACAATCATTTTTATAGACAAGAATCCTGAGGCTCAATGAGATGAAAGGGTCCAAGGTCACTATGGCACAGAATGCTAGTTGCCTTGCAAATATCCATTCTTCTCTCTGTCCTTGGTAACAGAACCCATCTTTTTTAGCTGTGTCTGGTAAAGATAACATTTCTACCTCCCTCACATCTAGGTCATGAGCTTTAAGAGGACGTGTTGCATGGGCTGGGAAAGAAACTGGTTCTGCCAAAAGAAGCTCTTTGTCTTTCCTGCTGCCTAATAGGCAGCCGCACTGGCAAAAGCTCCATCTTGGACCATGAATGACCTTCAGGAAAAGGGTCACCAACTGAGGATGGTGAAGCAGAAAAAAGGCGGCTAGATTCTTCAAAATTTTGTGGAAGCACCATACCTGCCCTGGATTGCCCATCTCTCTACTTCTTTGGTGGTGGGGGGGACCCAAAACCAAAACCAAAAAAAAAACAACCAACCAAAAACAACATTACTATTTAAATCACTGTTTTGGTAATTTTGCAGAAAGAATTATATTCCCATTTACTCAGTATACAGGTAACCAGGCAATCCTTTGGGAGACAAAAAGAACTCCTAGATGACACAGTCACACAGCTAATAAGTAGCATAGCCAGAAATTGAAGGCAATTCTTTGATTCTAAATTCTATAATCTTAACAAAAGGGCCGGACTGCTCAAGGGAGCAGTTGAGGCTACAGATGCAGATTGTCAATTATTGGTTTATGTACATCCTGACAGATTTTGTTACTTCTTCTATTATAAAAATAATGCAAAATAGGCATCATCATTCGAAAAGGAAGGTATTGTCATTAGATAAGTCATATAGATGATGAAGCATTAACATCTTACCAATTTTAGAGAACTAAAATAAAAATAAATAATCCTAACAACCCTAAAATTATCAAGCATAATTTTATCTTCCTGTTGGGGATCCTGTAGTGTATTTTTACTAAACAGAGCTACAAAAGAATCAGCAAGTTACCTATATGCTGAGTAAATGGGAAAAAATCTATTTTCATCTTTTCTAAATTTTATTTATTTATTCATTCAGTCATATATTTTTTAGCGACAGTATCTCGCTTTGTCACTCAGGCTGGAATGCAGTAGTGCGATCATAGCTCACTGTAGCCTAAAATCCTGGCCTTGGGCGATCCTCTCGCCTCAGGCTCCCGAGTAGCTGGAACTGCCAGTACATGCCACCGTGGCTCACTAATTTCTTTAAAGTTATTTTTTGTAAGGATGAGGTCTCTCTATGTTGCCCAGGCTGGTCTGGAACTCCTGGGCTCAAGCAATCCTCCCGTCTTGGCATCCTCACTTTGGTGCTGGGATTATGGGCATCAGCTACCATGTCAAGCCCTTTCCTAAATTTTAATTAGATGAAAATCTAGTTCTATAAAGAAATGAAATACCAATGATTTTGCAGTAAAGTGTGTTTCCATATAAATATAAATTGCAATTTCTTGTGTCAGAATCTTGAATAATTTATAGGATTAAATCAGTTATTATTTTGAATTTCCTATGCAGGTAGGTGTTCATAGTATTTCCCTATACTATATTATAAACTAGTATTAAATAAAACAATAATATTTTATTCCTACAAGAAGAATTGTAAAATTAATGTTTATATCTTCAGTTTTATCTTGAATGCTTGAGTATCCTGAAGTTGGTGGGAATCCAGGAAAAAAATGTTTCATTTAATTAAATATAAGTCAGGTCTCCAAGCAGAAGGATGATGTAGTCACATGTTTTGTGATGAAAATACCTCTAAAAATCGAAGGAAAGAGATCTTTTATGTAATTTAGGGGAAAAATTAATGTGAGCCTTTCCAAAGAGAATTTATATTCTCTTGTTAAAATATTATTTTTAAATTTCATTATTTTACTAGAATTCCAAATCTAGTCTTCCTTTGTAGCAAAGACATAAGACAAATGATTATTCTATCTAAAGCAACCATTGCTATATTTTTAAAAATCCACATAGTTCATACTTTTAACAACATTACAGCCAGTAAGTGAATGTATTTCATTTTGATGATTTCATATATTGCATTAATGAGAAAAATTGAGGCATATTATCTTAGGATCTAAAATATTGTGCAATTGTAAGTTTTATGCCAGCCTTCAAGTAATTCAGTTTTTCAAAGACAGTAAAGGGAAAAGAATCTGACCTAGACAGTCTCTCCCTTAACAATGAAAGTAATTCCACTTAACAATTTGTTTTTCTTCCTGAAGAGTTGCAAGATTGGTAAGAAGCACTGGATTAATTCTATATTCTCTCTGCTTAGGTATGTTTTCAACATCCTATGGAATAAATATGCTAGTGGTAAGTACACAGTACTTGGGGAAAGATGCATTTTGTAGGACACTCTAGACCCTCTGTAGTGACTAAAAGCAAACATAATAAAACAATCTGACATGAATTCAGTGTTTCTCCATTTACCAAAACTTCTTTGAGCACTTTAATACATGCAAATGATATTCCGATGCATTTTTAATGTTTGACCCAGATTACACAAAAGAATACTAGGGTAACAAAAAACTTCGTATACTTCATCTGCAAATATTGGAAAGTAAAGATAGGTGGTAAACTGCTACATCCATTATGTCATGGATTCCTCTCCTTAATATCCTAGTTCCAATAGCTGCTAACTACTAAAGCTTCCTGTGGTGTTCAGATCCTGTTGTAAACTGTCCTCCAAGATTGTCTGACTACATTACGACAATGGGTTTGTCTTCCTGACAATTTTGCAACAGTGGTGTGATACTCCAGGCAACATTCTGTAGGGTTAGAGTGATGCTTGAGGGAGCCAGTGGAATGCCATCATCACCCACAAATGCACCATCTGCTGTGTCTTACTGCTTAATTAAACTAAAACTGGTAGGTTCTTAATTCTCACAGCTCATAAAAATAAAGGTCACAACAGAGCACTGGCATCATGCATCATCCACATAACATACAGTCACTAAAGTACATTTTGCCAACCTATCACTCAAAAGAAAAAAGAAATATACCATCTAGCTGGCGTCAAAGCATAGAAGGATTCTATCAGACTGACATCAGATCAATGACAGGACAGCTGAACTGTCAGCCTAAGTGAGCAGGAGGACAGAAGCTTCAATGCGTGGCCATTGTTCTTTACCTGTCTCCTGTAGCACTTGCCAAAAAAAATTCTTCCACACACTGTAACAAGACCTCTTGTGAACTTTTTTGCTAAATCACCCATTCATTCATTCTTCAACCATTTATCAAAAGCTTACATATGCAAGGGATTGTGTTTAGTATTTTGGTTGATGCAAAAATGAATCTGAGGCAAGCTGTTAAGTCTATATAGCTGCCAAAGACTTCATTAGATATAGTCTTATGTCAAGTATATATAACACTTTTATTGAGATATAAACACACCAATTTATAGTGTATAATTCAATGGTATTTAATATATTCATAGAGATGTGCAACTATCACCATTACCTAAATTCAGAACATTGTTTTCAACCCAAAAAGAAACTTCATATCCATTGATAGTCACTTCTTGTTCGCCTCTTATCCCAACTCCTGGCAACCACTAATCTACTTTCTGTTTCTATACCTTTTGACTTTTCTGAAGATTTCACAAAAGTGAAATCATACAATATGTGGCCTTTGGGCTTTTTCCACTTAGCATAATGTTTTCAAGGCTCATCCATGTCATGGAATGTATCAGTACTTCATTCTGTATGATGGTTGCATAATATTCCATTGTATGGCTATACCACATATTGTTTATCAATTAATGGATATTGGGTGTTTCCATTTTTTTTGTTATTATGAATCATGCTGCTTAATAATATAATATTCATGTACATGTTTTGCACAGACTCGTTTTAATTCTGTTGGGCAAATAGCTAGGAGTGTAATTGCTGTGTCATATTGGTAACTCTGTGTTTGACACTTTGAGGAACTGTCAAGCTGTTTCCAAATTGGCTGCACCATTTTACATTACCACTAGCAACATATAAGAGCTCCAGTTTCTCCACATTCTTGCCAACACTTATTTTTGTCTTCTTGTTAAATTCTAGCTATCCTAATGGTTGTGAAGTGGAACCTCACTATGGTTTTGATTTTAATTTCTCTAGTGACTAATGACATTGAACATCTTGTCATGCTTATTGGTGATGTGTATATCTTCTTTGGATAAATTTACTATGTATTTTGAGCAACTTTTAATAAACTATTTGGTAGAAATACATAAAATATTATACCTGTAATCTTAAAGCAATATGTGACATTTCCCAACAAGCCACTAATGTATTTTCTTTCCCCGAAGTTCCTTTTGATATTTAAATAGAAACTCTAAGATAATATCTAAAAACAGAGAAGTCTTGAAATTCCACAGCATAAACATGGAAGTGGGGTGCAGGAAAAGGTGGATAAAATTTCACTTGATTAGATAACTCTTTCAAGCCAATAGCCCATTTCCCAAATCTATTGAAAGTCAACTAGTAAGAATTTCTGAAGATAAATGATGTGAAAGAGGTTGAGGTACAGAAAATTCAAGAAGATAAAATAATGGTAAGAACAATAGAGCACAAATTCAATTTCCAATCAAGGAAATTCAAAAAATGTTACAAAGGTAAAGCAACTTACTTGGACTTAGTAGTAGAGAGGTAACTAAGATAACTAAGAACTGAGAGATAACTAAGAATTAGTTCCTAGGACAGTGGATGATTATAGTATCACTTGCCCAAAGGAAGAGGGCGTAGGAGAAAGAGGTGAACAAAACAAAACATAAATATTCTGAAGGAGGATTCATTATACAGCAGTGGTTTCTGCTGCTCTTTTAAGAGAAGAGATATGAAAAAGGAAAAAAAAAAATAAGTGGGATCAATCTAATTTGGGCCACAATGGATTTGGTGTAGGATATGTAAGTTGCTGTTCTGGGAGAGAGAAACAGATAGCCATACAAAGAACCCAGAAAGTAGTCAGGAGACGGTCTGGGTTATGGATGCTGCAGGAAAAGGAAGAGCCACAGTCATTCAGATATCAAGGAGAAAAACCCTGCCGCCTTCTTAACTCCTGTCAAACCAACTCACTCTAGTTTCAAACAATGGGGAACAACTTAACTCAGTGATATAGTCATATGAGATGCTAATGAATGAAAATAATTGATCCTCATTATCTCTTCAAGATCGTTAATGCACCCGTAAAGGTAATCACGTCTTCTTTTATCATGCATCTTGAACTTTCTTTGCTATGTAGGTTTTTAACTACCTAACATTTTTCTCCAAATAATACAAAAGAAAACATCAACAATAAAAATGATAATTTTGGTGCCACGTTCTCACCAACAAACAAAAGCAGCCAAAATTGTGAAGAAGTCAGCACTACTACTTTTACATGCTATATACTACCAAGCCCCGATCGATAAGTCTGTTCTCTCTTGTTGGTGTATCCGTGGAAAAGGTGCATGACAGCAGAAACAGAGACCTTAAAAAGCAATTAAAGGTGAGGAATCTCCTGCCAAACAGCTAGTACAGACGGAACCTTTTTTTCCATAGAGCTTAGCCTCATTCCACAGCCAAGAAAAAGCTTGATAAGTACTATATGATGAACAAGTGATAAAATTTATGAAAACTGAGATGAGGAATGACCAATGGGAGAAACAAGGTGCCACTCAGAGCCTGAATGGGTTATTGTGCTTCCTGTTTCCTGTAGGTGGCGCCAAACTCCTTGAAGAGGAAACAGAAAACAAAGTTAAAAGGCTGGTGTATGTCTAGATTGAAGCGCTAAAGAATTTGCTTGTGAGTTGGCAATTTCTCCTCCAAGGCAGCTCTTCATCAGTGCTATTGGCAAGCTCTAGATTTCAGAAGTGATTCACCTGCGCCGTTATTTATGAGCTGCCTTTTCTCCTTTAAGCGCCCAGCTTACATTAACAGTACCACCAGCTTCACTGCAGAGCTCAACCGTGCCTATCACGTAAATGGAAGGTTCGTTAAAGCATCTATTAAAGGGATTTTCAAAGGCAAAACAGCATTTTAAAGCCATTAGCATCCCTTATGTTAGGTTCTATTGAAGAAATGTTACCAAACTGCTATCTAAAACCATCAACCAGAAATAGCCATAAAGTCACTAGACAATCCCTTGGATTCTCTACCCAGAGGGCTCTCACAACCCTATATGCTCCCTATCTTTCAGGCCTTGGAGTGAGAGAGCATCAACATGACTTCTAGGAGCATGTCCCAGATGTGCATCTCCTGGAGGCAGCCAGGGGTTGGACATCAGTCATCAATAAGGGTCCTTGCCAAAAAGAAGCTGTAGGGGTCCGCAAGGAAGCAGGAGGCTTGGTCAAACTGGAATAAAAGCAGTATGAAGAGAAGGGTGTGTCTTGGAGGGCATACACAGGCAAGCAAGAATTAGATATTATGTACTAGGTTTTCACTATTATTCTCAAGATCCAATTTTTGTAACAGACATTTTCTGCCAACCTCCTAAAATTTTTAAACAACAGCAGCCAAGACTGACTTCTACTCGGCACAATTACATAAGACCAAGCAGTGTGTTGCTCTCATTTTCGAAGCTTTGTTTTAAGCTCCCTCATTAATCTTTCAGTCTTTTCCCATCTCTGCCTGACTATAACTGCCCTGAATTTATCCAAGCCTGCAGAATGCCAGGCTCACTGGAGTCTAAATCACCAAGAGCTGAATACACATTCTACTCATGGGACTCTACACTTCCATCAGAAGGAACCAATCACAGCTTAGGAGAGGTAAACCTCTTTTTAATTGTATTCTATGATACTAACAGGCATTCATTACACATGGACCTTAAAACAAGATTTGCTCTTGGCTGCTCATAATTGTATTTCTACAGCAGTTTAAACCGTTGGCACCTGCAATTGCTAGCAGGCCTAGGCTAAGAATTTCTATTATCCCACTTTCAAGGGTTACATTTAAAATAAAACTCAGAGGGGCAAAACATTACATACACACATATTTACACAAATTAAATACTATGCACAAGTCAATACCTTCTGCACACAAAACTACATTAAACTCAATTAGCCCTAAGCAAAACTACAGGAAGCAGGTTTTCTGAGAACCAACGGAGCTGTTCTGTATAATAAAGAATGTAAAAGCAGCTAGATTATAGAGTTCTGCAGAGCTGTCAATAAATGCTTTTAAATAAATCATCAGTACTGATTTCTAAATTAATTAGCTTAAAATTAACACAAAACAATCCAATGTAAGGTATTTATATACAAATAACCTCTGATTTTTGAGTTCTAATAAAGAAGAACTTTTGAAGCACATATGTATTTGTGTGTCATTCAGGGCTTTTCCAGAAGGATATTCCTAACTATAAGCCACAAAATAGCCACCAGACTAAAGTACAATATCCTTCTTGTTATGGTTTTCTACTTGATTATGACCAAAATTAAATTATACAAATATTTCACTAAATATCTTCTCAAACCTTATAAATATTAATATAAACTCAATCTCCGATGTGCCCAGCATTTAAAAATCCATTTAAAAATCTTGGAAACTAATTTAAGATTTCCATCTAGAATACAAATTAGCAAGTCCTCTTCCTAGCTCTGTTTTGCTCAGCACCCATATCTGCACATTTAGTACTGAATGTCAGTTGGTAGCACTTAAAGATGATGAATATTAAAAGCATGCTTCTGCCTGCTAACATATTAGAGCTTGGCAACCACTGAATTTGTCATAAGCTGCATTTTCAGTGAACAAACGACTGCCTTTAACACGCCAAAGCATTCGGTAAATTCCCAAATTGTGAAAAGGGTACACGGAGGGTGAAATTTTACTATTACATATGTTATCTGAGAGGACTGCATAAAATTAAAATCTTTTTTAAAACTTACCACCTTAGAGTACCACCAGGCTATAGTTTTCTAAAGTACTTACTTGAAGATTGTATATGGATAATAAGTAATAATAATGCCAGCTACTATGAATCAAATATTCATTATGTGTTGGGCACTGAGCTAAGCATTTTGCATATAAAAATATAATTTTTACATACATGCTATCTTGTCTACATGCCATCTTTACATGCATACTATCTAATTCGCATATGTACATGCTATCTTTACATATATGCTATCATATCAGATTCTCTACCCAGTAAGTGGTATTGTTATTTCCAAAGAGGTTAGGTGACTTATTTGAGGTAATAAGCAAATGAAAAGCAGATCAAGAATTTCAACCCAAGCCTCTCTCTCCAATTCCCTACACGCTACCATGCAGCCAAATTTCCAGCAGATAAAACCTCTTGCAAGGCTGGCACTTGCTGGATGCTGCTCACTCTATTGGGTCCAGGAGCTTAATACCTGTTTACTTTAAATCTGCATTAAGGACGCCTTTTCATATACAAATCTTGTTTCTGCTAGGATTCATTCATCCAGAAGACTGAACAAAAAGTACATTTTTGTCTGGAATACATAAGAAATTATTTTTAACTTAATTAAAATGGCTTGTTAGAATCACCTATTCAGCATGTGGAAAACCAGCTGGGTTATCCTGTCAAACCTCTGCACAACATACCTACTGAGACCCAACTTCACGATTAGAAAGCAAGAGAGTATAGTGATGCAAACTGAACTCCGGAACAAGAGTTCAAACTACGGCACTATCTCCTACCAGCCTCAGGTGACCAACCCTCAATGTCCTCATTTGTAAAGTGAAGACTGTGTTAGTAACTATCTCATGGATTACTGGAAGATTAAATAAAATTATGCATACAGAGTACCAGATACATTGTAAGTACTCAATAAATGTTAGCGCTTGTCTGTCTTTGGGGTGTCAGATTCTATCAAAACAACTTTACTACTTTCTTTGGAATGCTATATGGTTCTTTAATTTGTCTGTCTATTAAGAACTGTCTTACATTCAGTAAGTTTTTTTCTACTTAATTTTATGCCATCAGCTCCATAGCTCTACAAAGCATTCTAAATTATCCTTCTGTTTCTCTGGGTTTTGAGAGATTCAAATTCTTTTTCCAAATTACATACTAAGATCTTCTTTCTGAGTTGATTTTCCTAGCTGCTTAATCATTTCTGTTGACCTCTGATTTTTTTTTTTTTTTTTTTTACCAGATTGGCCAAGTGTCTCTGATATGAAGACATCCAGAACAACAATCCAAATTAACCTTTTGAGAGCCTAAAAATTAGGACTTATTTAAGTCTCTTCTGATTTCTGCCTTCCCCAACATTTACTACCATGTTCATTACTGCATGCTAATCTCAACATTTTTTCCATAGCTTACATCATGACAGATGTTTTGTCCAGATTTCACAGTAAATTTAATGGGCGAGAAACAGTGCAATTATTTATAAAGTTATTGTTTGTAGACGAAATTACATTTTCCAAGAATATAGCTAGTTAAGTTATATATGTCTTTATTCCTTCAATAAGTATTTCTTTAGTGCCTATTATGCACCATAACAGGTGAATCACATACTTTTGCAAAAAGACAAGGCAATACCTTATGTGCTAAATTCTCCCGTCTGCCTGCATCACACGGTTGTTTGAAAGGAATGTTACAATTTTTATGAGTCAACTTAATTATATACTATCTAAATATAAATATGTACATACACATGCACACTACATACATATTTAAAACCCAGTCTCTTTTGGGAAGACAAAAGACCTTTTAGTGGGCTAAAAAAGTCCCTTTGAAAGTTGTCAGTATATCTTATGGAATGTGCTAAGGAAAGAAAATAGAGCGATTCTGTTTTTCTGTAGCTGGATGAGATTATGGTGTTTTATTTGATTCTGTTTTCTGTATTAACTTTTATAGGCATCCTGTTTTTTACTTCTGTTAGTTATTTTTATAACTTTAATAAACTTTCAATAAATTTTAATGAACTATTAAATTTAAATAAATAAATTTTAATAAACTTTCAACCGGTATTTAACTACTCTCAACATATTCCCAAAAGATCACTTTAGTCTCTTTTAAATGAAGGACAAATAATTTAGCACTTTTATACTTCCTTACTCTACCTTCAAGTTTTCCAATTAAAAAAATATCAGAATATTTTTCAGTTTTGATTTATAATTAGAAAGCTTGCCTGGAATATGGTATGGTAAATCAGTACCCAAGATCAGGTCTCTTTTAGAACTGAAAAATATCCCTCCAATAGTTATCACAGTGGACTCATTTGTTTTGCTGTGTCTTCCACAATAATCCCCATCAGTTCTGGGTTGGATCTGTGTCTTTCGAGGCTTCTTTGTTGCAGTCTGGGCATTTTTTTGAAGTCTATCCTCTATCACCCTGAAATAGGAGAGTTCCCTGACCCTCCTCCCAGGACATGCAACAGGGGTGTGGCTCCTCTGTTGCGCTGTTGCATCCTCAAACACCTTACAGGAGTGGGGGCACACAGACAAGCAGGTGCAGGAGCCAGGGAGAGTGATTTGGGGAACTGGTCCCACAGTAGTGGTAGCGTCTAGGGCTGAGTGCCTGTGACTCCCAAAGCCCCAGTGGGTGTGCTACAATGCTCTTTTAGCTCTGCTGTCCACAGACTGCTTAAGTGTTACCCAGCTCAGTGCCCTCTTGGTACCTGGGTTTTTGTCCAGCATCCAGGAAGAATCAGGTCACACAAATTGAAGGATGGTAAATGCGGGGGATTTTATTGCTGGATGGAGATGGCTCTCAGCAGGATGGATGGCGAGCTGGAAAGGGGATGGAGTGGGAAGATGACCTTCCTCTGGAGTTCAATTGTCCCATGGCCCATCTCCTCTCCCACCGTCCTCAGCTGAACTCCTCAGTGTTCAGATGCTCCTTCTCTTCTCTCCTCTGCCAAGGCATTCTGCTGCTCTTCTGCTCCTCTGCTCTTCTGCTTGTGGAGCCTAGGATTTGGAGTTTACATGGGTACAGAATAGCGGGGTGCAGCAGGCCAAAAGACAACACTTGGGTGTCAAACAGGAATGCCTGTTCCCATTTAGGACCATGGGTTTCTGGGCTTAAGGGTGGAGACTTTGCCAGGGAACTACCCTCTTTTAGCCAGTATTTCCCTGCTGTCTGTCCAAATCAACTGGATGAATTTTCTAAGTCAGCTTTTTATTTACAGTGAAGATTTATTGTATCTAGTTTAATCTTCATTTCATTTTACTCTTTTTAAAATTCTCATTTACTAGATGTAAACTCTTTAGGTGTCTTACTGAGTTTACAAAACAGAGCTTTTCTAACTGTTTCATAAAGCAAAATTGTTTCAGAAAGACATGCTACAGATCTCTACAATGTCTTTGCTTTGGAGCTATAGAATTTTGTTTTAATTATTCATCTATAATACATGATTTCTTTTTTACATCTTTGGGCTTGGTTTGACATTGGCCTTTAGTGCTTACCATGCTTGAAGACTGCTTTTAAGTCCTTCCTAGCAATTGACTTACATTAATAAGTTAGATGCGTGTCTTCGGTGCCCTACATGTGCTAAGTACTATCCTGGGTGTTGAGGATTCAATAAGAAGGAATCTACTCCCATCCCCATCTCTTCCTTCCCCACCCTCATGAAGCTCAGTCTTCTGGAGGAGACAACAAAATCCCACACTAGCAACTGAATATAGAGGTCTTTGCAGATGCCCTTGTGTTCAAAGTGGAGCCAAAGGATGACTGGAAGCAGGTGCCGATCCTGGTTCTTGACTTTCAAACATCTAAAGTCACAGACCAGCCCAGAACCTGGGTGAGAGTCAGAAGCCAGTTCAATGAGAACCACTTCCACCCTATCCAGAAGCTGAGTAAGTCAAAGAAGGAGCAGGTTAGCAGCTGTTACCAAATCCACTAACACTCAGCAGCACTGGAAATGAGCAAAAGGGAAACTGGCCAGTACATGTTGAACAGGATTCCATGACTAGCAGCTGAAACAGGGAAGAGAGGAAGAGGAATCAGGTTGCAGGTTGGGGGCCTGGTTAAGAAGGAGCAACTCCATCTGATTTCAACTACAGCAAAGAATGTAAAATTCCTTCCAGAAACTAGAATGGGCTCAATGCCTGACACTCATTATGGTTACTTCCGGGGATTTGTTTTTTTTTTTTAGACAATTTCATGGATATTTTAAAGGAAATAAGGAAGACATTGTTCATAGCACTTCCACACACTCTACTATATTCTTGGAAGTCAGTGGTTCAATCTCAAATGAAACTTCTCACTAACATTATGTTCAGTTATTTATGCTCCCTAAACAATGAATGTTTTTAGGCAAAGATTTCCTAGCCTTTCCAACTGAACAAAAGAGCCTCCCACACACAGAGACACACATTTCCATTCTGAAAGCCCTGCAGGCAGATCTGTGAAGCTTGCCATCATAAGACTCATTTAATTTTAAATTAAATTAAGGGCCCAAAAGGTAAGCACATTGTTCAGGTTATTCCAACTAATGTCCTAAACTTACAATTTCAATGATTCTCCATCCAATTGATGACTCCTGCTATAATAAAGAATTCATGAACCATGGAAACAACTGACAAAAATAAAATAAATAAATATCACTCATGGCTTAGAAGAAAAAGCATTCACACAGTCCAGTTCCTAACTCAAAGAGAGTAAATATGTGCAGGAAATTTTTATCAAGATTTTACCAAGTCTATAGCTGTAAGGAAAAAAAAAGGGGGTACAAAGGCTGCCTTTCTAATAAAAATAAAAGTATGAAGGACCCAAATTTCTGACCACTATCACGTGACAGATATATAAATATTCACATAAGCAGAACTAGTTGAGATGGTAAAATGTAACTAAAATGAAATAGTCTTTTTTTTTTCTTTTTTTTTGAGTTCAACACAGCCCTAAGGTTTCCCCCTCCCTGGGTGGGGAAGATTCTGATGGATTTCTTTATTATACATACATTTATTGATCCAATTGTCCCAGTTTTTATGAAGTTTACTAACAATACTGAGGTGCCTGAATATAAGAAGGGGTAAAAAAAGAAAGAGAAAAGAACCTGAGTTGGAAATTCTCAAAGAATACTGTATGAGGAAGTCTACAGGGTAAGCACAATCATTACTGAACCATCTGATTAGCTGTGGGCTGAGTATGGAAACAGGAATTCAAAGAGAGTTGCTAGTCTCTTCCCTCCCCAGTCTTCCCACACTGGAAAACAAGGACAGAATAAGGAATGGAGCGGAAGAAGAGAAGACAGGTTCAGGAGAATCATAGATGGGGCAGGTAGAAGTTAGAAGGCCATTTCAAAGAGGACACTAATAGAGTTTGAAATATTGAAAGTGGAGCAGATCTATTAGGTGTGGCATGTGTGTGCACAGCCAAAGTGAAATGAAGATGAAGGTCGTTTTAGCTGAGGGATTTAAAGAACTATGAGATCTGGGTATTAGTAAAGCCATCAAAAGGAATCCGCTATTCACTAAGGATTCTGCATTGAATCAGTGAGGAAAAGGTGAGCTGATCTTGAAGCAACCATGGTCCCAGAAGTGTTATTAGGGAAGTGCGGTGGGGCAGGGGTGGTGAGAGGTATGTAAAGTTGGAATGGTATGGCGCTTACATATGCTTGATAACGTGTCAATTTCCACATCTAAGAATGGAGAAGATCACATTGATTACAGGGGATTACCCTTAACCCATCTTTTGCTTGATGCCTCCACTGAGTAGAAGGTGGATTCGAGCGGTACAACTACTTTATGTAAATTTAATGAATTTAAAGTCCTTGAGAAATAAGAATGGAAATAACCTGACAGTAAAAAAATATATATTTAATCCCTACTTGTCAACTCAGGAATAAAGAGAATGGGAAGGAAAAGTGATGTTCCTTGGCCACTCCTGGATCTCCCTGCGTTTCCCCAAGAGCATCACTCCAGCCAAAGACCAGCTGACATTTTCTCCCCAGGCATGCTTCACTTCTCACTCTACATACCCTGTGTGAGGTCCTCCTTACCTCACCAGTCCCAGACCAGATCTTCCAATTGCTTACTGGTCTTTTCTTCCTCATGTCCCATCGGTTCTTCAAAATCAAAGCTTTTTACCAAATTCATCCCCTCTTTTCCAATCTGACTGCAACAAACTTAGGACCAACCATCTTTTCTCACCTGATTTTCCAAATGGTGTCCTAACTAGCCTCCTACTCCCCTAGAATAGCCTCTATACTATCAACAGGGCAATCTCTCTAAAGGACAATCTGATCAGATCACTTAAAACCCTCAATGGCTCCTAATGCCTATGGGATGAAGCACAAAGCCACTTAAGCTCTGAGTCATGCTCTTCTGTTCAAAGAGAGAGAGACAGAGAGAGAAAGAATGCCCGACATGCCTCCGTCAAAATCATTGGGAGGATCAAATAAAAATGTATGGAGAAGCACTTTCAAAACTATAAAGCTTATCTAGTGGTTCTTAGTCTTTATGAGGTCACAGTCCCTTTGGAGAGTCTGATAAAAGCTCTGGAGTTTTCTCAAAACCACAAACACATACATCCACCTACACATAAAATTTGGCATCCAATTTCAGAGCATCCATGGTTCCTCAAAGACAATCTTGATCAAGAACCCTTACTTAGGTATTTTATTATTTTCATATTGGTACGTAGAATTGGAGTCAGTATCATCTTGATAGCATTTCCAGCCTTACAAACAAGCAAGCAGTTCTCCTGTGGGCAGTCAGATTATTCATGAAGATGTCTAAAATATTCATCAGCAGGGTCATTGGGCACATAGTGAATATAGGCAGAAAATTAGTACAGTAGTTAGCTCACAGTCATTTCATCAGAGTGCAGCTGTCCCTACACACAACTGCTCGAAAAGAACAGGTTATTTTGAAAACAATCAGCTGAATTGAGACCAAAAAAAAAAAAAAAACTGGCCAGTGGGCCTTCATTCTAACTGAATGAAAATGAAGTGAAGTTTCTTCCTTTTCACACAGCTCATCGATGCAAAAACACGAGCTATGCCATAGCATAAATGTTCATTATGCATGAGCCTGTTTCTTGCAGCTGCATCTCTCATGACTTGGCTAAGGCTGTATTTGTCTATATGTCCTTCTACATGTTTGTGCATATTTACACTGTGTATTTTAGTGCTCAAGGAAGCAGAAGGCAGGAACAGTGTTTACTCTGCATGTTTGTACAGGACACATCATACAGAACTACAGTGATGTAGTATTGAAGGGCAGCAAATTCAAACTCTTCACCAAAGTGTGAATAGTTCACATAATAAAGAACTGATCACACTTCTCTTTAGAAAGAAGAATATTATTCGCCAAGTTTGTGGTACCAACCAATGACTAAACCTTAAGTCTGTAGTCCCCTGTTATCTGCAGTTTCACTTTCTATGGTTTCAGTTAACCTAGGCCAACCTGGGGTTCTGAAAACTGGTGAGTATAGTACAACAAGATATTTGGAGAGAGAGAGACCACATAACTTTTATTACAGTATATTGATATAATTGTTCTACTGTTGTTGTTAATCTCTTATTGTGCCTAATTTAAAAGTTAAGCTTTATCATAGGTACGTATGCATATGGAAACAATAGTCTGATAGGGTTCAATACTATCCTCAGAATCAGACATCCATCTTGAAATACATCCTCTGAGGATAAAAGGGGACTACTATATACCACCAGAATACCACCACAAACATTTATCAGTGTTTTGAACAGTAAACACACGTTTGAATAGTCTATAATATCACATACAAATGGGCTCTATGTAATAGGAAATACACATACTGAACATAAAAACTAAATGCATTCTTAACAGAAGACTGGCCCCAAATCAATGTCAGCGCTTTAAAAATATGCATTCAATTAACTGTTTTTTGCTTGCCTTCTGAAAATTAATATTTTTGGCACATATATTTTAAGACATGGCCCTTGGAACTCTGAACTTATATCTTTCTCTTGATAAATTTCCAACAAGTAGTCATTAGAAATCACTCCAAGTCCCTAAAGCTGAGCTTTTCAAAAATACCTGCATTTCCTTATTTTGTCACGAGATGGCAATCTCATTCATTGGTAAACCATAAAAATCACAGGAAAACAAAATTTTACATCACAGGTGTGGTTCTCAAAGTTCATAATGTCAGGACCATTTTAAACTCCTAAAAATAAAAGTAATAATATTTTGAAAGAGTCGTATGAATTCACTTAATAAATCCATCACATGTTAACACAAAGAACGTATTTTTGTGAAAATAACTACATTTTCCACAGCAAAAAAAAGTTAGAAAAGAATTTTGCAAATCTAATGTTGGCTTAATAGTGAACAACTGGATTCTCACATTTGCGTCTTCATTCATTCTGTTGTGATACACTGTGTTGAAGTATATGTGGAATAAAATGGCCTCATGCAGATATACAGTTGAAAAAGGAAAAGTATTTTAATAGTCTTTTCAGATAATTATGGTTATTCTCCTTTGATACTATACCAAAACTCAACAAGTGGTGGTTTCTTAATGGTTAAACTGGATTGTAGAATCTGAAACCATATCAAAGAACTTCTCATATTTTATTACATTAAAATTCATTAAGTCAATCTTGTACTTTGAATGGGTCTTTTACCCACTCATGATTTTTTGAAATCATGCACTGCTCATTTGGAAAATATTAGTTCACTGAGTCTGTAGCTCTTCCAAATGTTGACACATTTCATTATTCAGTATCAAAAAAGTCAGTATCACCACCAGTCTCACAAGAAAGTCAATGATTCATTAGGAAGTTATCAAGTTCACAGAGGAAGATACAAATATAAAAAAATTTGTATTTTCACTTGAAATCTTTACTTTTATCACTGACAACACTGTCCATTATTTCTCCTAAAATGACGGGTTCACTGCTTTCCAGAAAATGTCTGCCTAATACCCAAGTCTGAATAACTATAGTTTAACTCAATCTCCCCAGTCTTCTTCCTTGAGACACAGTAACCACATGTAGCAAAAATGCTTTATTTGTAAGTGACTTTCACACAAGACTATTTTTAAAAACATGTAATTTAAGGTTAAGCTTTCAGAAAATTAATAATTTTCACTTCATCAGGGATATTCTTTTTTACTGTTTGTGGAGGTGAAGAATATAGTGACTTCTAAGGCAGTTTAGTCCCACTAACTCGATTCAGGCTAAGGCTCCTGTAGCTTTCCCCACCACTGCTTTTACACCATCAGAGCAAATGTCAACACACCCAAAAGAGGCAGTTATATCTTAGTATTATGAGAATAGTTTTGATCTCATGGATTCTCCAAAAGGATCTTGGGAGCCTCCAGGGATCCATGGACTGTGCTTTGAAAGCCATGTTTCAGAGGTTATAAAAGACTTTCAATTTATGTCAGCATTTAAAAATAAAACCAAGTGCCACATTTGCAGAAAAAGAACAAGTGGGAACTCCCAATACAGTAAAACTTCTATTACTAAAACATTTGGTTAATGGGTACCCTTATTTAATTTTCTGATTAACTCTTCGATTACACCTACTTTGGGTTTCTACCCTTTCCAAAAATTTTTAATTAATCAGAACTAAAACAAGAAGTCAGGAAACACTAGATTTAAGTTATTTCCTGATGTGTTTGTTCACAATTTAATCCTTTTAAAAGGATTACTAGATTTCACAGCCAGAATTAGAAGCACTATCATTTCACAGTTGTAAGGCTAAAAATAAGTATAGGAGTGTTTTTCCAACTTAAAGAAGTGGAACATTAGTTAACATTTTACATGGCATCTCGATATGAAAAAAATTAAATTGAATTTATTCTGTTTGGTTGAAACATATTCTGTTGCCGTTATTATTAGTAACCATTAAGTACTCACTAAATGTTTGAATTTGTAGGAGCTTTACATAAATTACCCATTTCATTCAATCCTTATACATTCTAAAGGTGCCATCTTCAAATTAAATTTTATCACCATTTTATAGATAAGGAAATTGAGGTTCAGACAATTAATTAACGTTTCCACTAATACAACTAGTAAACAGCTACGCCTAGTTTAAAACCAAGTCTGTCTAAGCTTGGCTGACTCCAAAGATGAAGTTCTTAATTCCCAGCTCTTTCTGGATTTAGCTCTAATATGCACCTGCAACTAGGTCCTTGATGTTGTCCAGTCTGTTAGCTTCCATCTGAGATTTAGCTGGTATTATCAGTGCTTAATGCATGTGTTACTTTGGTAGGTTGTAGGCATTAGGAGTTGCAGTTAACAGAATTTCTTTCTTTCCACATAATTGCCTATCTTCCAAGCTTACCAACTTGCTATCCTATTAGTTCTCAACAGCACCTCTCTTTTCCAGTGAAACCAGATTGCTCATGGTTTGTTTGAATGCACCACAGATATTATTCCTTCACCATTTGGCCTGTACCCCTCCTGTGTATTGAGATCTTGCCTTCTATATTTCTATTTCTGCCCCAAGACTTGGGGCAGGCATACTGTTTCCTTACTCTAACCTCCTTTGGCTCTTTACTAATGTTTTTTCTTAATGCTATTTAACCTTTGATATGCATTTATTATATCTTCCCAACTAAATTATAATATTTTTTCTTTTTTGCCCTCTTTGTATTCCCCAGGACTTCTATCACAATACTATAAATAAACTAGAGGGCCACAGACGTGGTTGAATTAATACACCAGGGAGTAGTGATAATAACACTGTTGTGATAACGGTTTATTAAAAATCCATTTCTCAGGAAACTTATAATAGATAAAAATGTTATAAGAGGGTCATATTGATGCATCTAGTAATAAATCACCTTAGGGATGATCAAAGAAAAACAATTACCATTACTGAACTGAGGTTGAATTTCAAGTCCTGCTTTCAAGAGATTGGTTGGAAATAACCTAAGCACAAAGCTGGTAGCATACCGGTTGGCCTTAAGTGGGTATCTCAGATTGTAAAATGCTGGTCAGGAAGATTGGCTGTTCTCAGATTAAGTGAGTAGATGAATTGAGAGAAAGCTTACACTTCTACAAATGTTAACAGGAGGAAAGGAGAAAGAGGAGGAGAACATCATCATCACCATCATTACTATATGCTAGAAATGATTCTAAGTACTTAACATATGTTAACTCATTTACCATTCCCAAAAACCCTAAGAGGTAGAAACCATTGTTAACTGTCTTTTATAGACAAGAAAATTAAGCCACAAAAATTCAAATAATTTGCCTAAGGTTACTTACACAGCTAGTAGGTAATAAAGCTGGGATGCAATAAACTCATTTAAACTGTTTAAATATTTGCCTAACACTAAATTACCTAGTGGTCATGTCTCAAATTTTAGAGAAACTACCATTTGGAGAAAGATTTAAAGAACTAATATCTACGGTACACACAAGTGTACTCTATTTAACCTTGAATTTACTGTCTTTTAAAAATAGATCATAAATCCTTGAACCCGCCATGTTTTCAAGTATCATAATCACTTAAGCCTTTGTTAGGCCCCTACGGACCAACAGCAGATGCTCACACGTAGGAACCACACTGTGTCTCCGCCTGGATAACTGGTTATAGAACCCCTACTCTGGTCTGTGCTATGGCTCGACTCTCCTTCAATATTGAGTAATTACATCTCATAGTGCTTTTTCTCCAAATACTCAGATTTCTTAATCTTTCCTGGCATAAAAGTGATAAGAAGAGGAGAGAAGACTGCAAGTGCTATATGCTTTGTAACATCCTGTACTTTCTATTTTAAAGAGATCTATGCCACCTTCTTTTTTATAACCATCTAAACATGTTGCCGTTTAAAAAAATCAAACAAATATAATCATATCTTCGTGGAGCTTTTCTCATACCTGCTTCACAGAGGCCACCCCTACTTTTTGCCTCTTCACTAATTTTACTTAATGCAGAGTTTAGTTTTCATTTTTAACATGTATCCACTTAT